TCTTTAAACAGATTTCTGTAAGTTTCAGGATTTCTCGTTGGTCCGGATATGTTTCTTAATATTTCATAAGAATGGCTTGTAGGAAGTAAATTATTAAGTTCTGTGATAAGCTTGTGTACCATGGTGAAGTGAATATCTTAGATCTATGGTGACTATTAGATTGGCGTCATACATTTAGCTGCTGAAATTACAAAAGAACATGGAGAGCGAGCTAGAGACCAATTTAAGTTTGCGAAAGCTCAGTCTTTCGTCGCTGGTATACTGATGATATAACCCATTGTTGTCGTAAGTTGTTGTTGTTGAAGACCCTGAAATACCATCGTCACACGGCACGCTCATAATCCTGCAAGGAAGGGTTGGCAAGGTTGATCGGCGCATGTGTTCCATTCTAGTTATGCAACCCAGTCGTTGTAGCCATTAAGGACAGTAGAGGTCGAGGAACTTGATAGAAGGGAATTTCAGGCTTCAACATTGTTTTCGGGAAAAAATATCTATCTGAATATAAAATAAAAATAAATAAGGCTGCAATCAGGCAGTATCGGGACGGTGAAAATGCCTTAACATCAGTATTAGCACATTTAGAATACCCTTCTAAATACCACGGTTTTGGACTTTGGTTTCCGTCAGACTTGGGTAGCGTCGATTTTCCAAGATCTATAGGAATGCTTAGCCATCAAGGTTGAAAAGGCAATTCAATGGCTAAAATATTGATGGAGGTCTTCTCCGGAAAAAGGTATTAGAAATTAAAGACACCTCTTTCGTTAAAAAATAGACGCAAAAACAATGCAACGCACCCATGTGTGCGTGAAAAGGTGTATTATATATTTTTCGCAACAATAGTAGCCTAATATAAATAACCATGATGTAATTTAAATGATCTACATAAACTTCTCTCTCCGGCAAAATAGAATTGCTCGATTGAAGGTAGGTAATGGCGAGGTTGTCGATAAAGATGGATGCCCTGGTCAAAATATGTGTTTTCCCCATTAATGCAATCACAACAGCAGCTATTCCATTATAGGCCGGACCTTCTTTGTCTGATGAGGGCCTCCAACGAGCACGTAATAGATTTGGTGGATTCCTTGGCAATACATTACTGCATTGGAGCAGGTTTTGATTTAAATAAATATATTTGTTCCTTGTTGTTTCTTTGAAGGTAGCGTTTTATTCTTTTGTTCTTCAATATATTTTTCCATGTATACTGTATAACTATTATAGTAAAAATAATATAGATGAATAAACCTTTTCGACTTAATTATTTCCAAACGTTTTGGCGACTCACTGTCACATTCCTCCTGGGTATTTAGTATTGTTATAAAGTATTATATTTAAGATAGTATCAAGATTCAACTATATTAAAGAAATATTAATCATGACCTTTAGGATCATAGAGTTTGCTGAAACATAAGTTAATTATTCCTTTAAATAATTAAATTGTGAAGTTACCAAATACCCCTTTAAAAAAAGTGATTTTTAGTTCAGTTTTGACAAAAGCTAACTTTTACGTGTTTGCATAAAAGTAAAAGGTAGCTAAATTAAACACACTGACACGTGTATACACTAAAAGGTAACAACAAATTAAAGAAAATTAAGTTAGTAAGTAAATTAAAAAATAACACAATAAGCTATATCAAAGCTCATACTTATCTTTACTCCAACGTAGGGAGGATCGGACCGGGCCCCAAAGGAATGGGCAGGAGATTAGCAGGTTAGGAAAGTCAGGAAAGGGAGGGTGCTATAAACATCTCACACGCTTTCAGGAAATATCCTCGCACATAACCCTTGAATATCTTATATGTACAAACACGGCCACATTTTTCCAATAGGAAGGCGAGGGAGATCAGTTCGCTTAACAAAAATATATTTTCGCATAACTGGTAGGCTTTAACTGTTTATGTTTGTCAAAAAACTTTACAAAGTTTTGTTTATAATTAAATTATTAATTTTTGGCTTCAATTGTTGGTGTAAACATCTCCGACCCGAATGGCAGTGTCTGCTTCCCCGTAGAGGACAGCAACCCACTCTAGGAAAGTAGATGGTAAGTCCAGTTTATCCAACAAGGCGAATAGGTAGCTCCTGTTAGGGTGTCGAACCCCGACTTCAGGCAAAAAGAGATAACAGCCAGCAGTGTGTCATGTCTTGCTGCCCGAGCGACTTTGTCAGACACTCGCGCAATGTTCCAGGAGGATGACCGCCCGGAACGGCGTAGGTCTTACAGTCGGGAACGAGGACCTGCAGATAACAACGCAGACGGCCCATGAGAACGCCGTTGAGAATCCTTTAGTCGGTCACTGGGAGGTTGATGGGCGGATTGCCTGCAGATCCGGATCACCGTGGGATTTCGGCAGCAGGATGACTTTGCTGCGCCATTAAGATGGAGGTAGAGCTCCGCGTAGTCGAGAACCCTCGAAGACTTGCCAAAGAACTTCGGCGAAGAAATATTAAAAAGCTTTGACAAACTCGCGGGATAACCCGTTCCATCCTAAAAAACGGCCGTTTGGCAGGCGGTGGGTGGCTGCCGCTATCTGGTCGCGGGAGATATCAGCGAGAAAGAGATCGACGAAGTGCAAAGGGGTCATTTCAGCTAGGAAGTCGGCAATAGCTTCTTCCGAGTTTGGAGCCTGGACGAAGCGACCGCTTAAGCGCTCCAGAAGGAAACGCCTAAACTGGCCACGGAGATGGCGTTGCCGTTTTCGTCGGTAGAGATGGAAGGAGTGTGACGTCTGGCTCGGAGGGACCGCCCCAGGTTCTACAAGGAAGAAGTCGTCTTCCAGTCTCAGCCTCATAAAATGGTTGTCTCTCTCAATGTAGCCACCGCCTTTCTCGGCGACGACAGGCGCGAGTGATCTTGTTTCCGAGATTAGATCCGCCTTGACCTTAGTTCATTGTTTTTATAACAACTGGGTGTGAAAGTTTTACTAGGTCTTCCAACGTTTCATCGATGAACGTTTCCATTCGATCGATGCACAATTCTGAATATATCAGCTTGCCGTTGCAGGGAAGTCTTGTAGGAGCTGGGTCTTCAATTTGAATCAAGACGGCACGGTGGTTCGTCTATGAATGAAGTCTATGAATTGGTGTTAAAGGTTTATCTCCCTGAACTTCTCCGGAATGTATTGTCTTATTTTTGTAGTAGAGATATGACACCATAATATTTTGTCTGAAGGCAGGTAATGTGGTTTGAAAATTAGTGACTTGGTTTGTGACTCGCCAATTCTTCATCATCCTTTTGTTTTCCGAAATGGCATCGTAATCGAGATTGAAGTTATTCCATCAATTCTTTAAAATGTTCCAACTATTGGTGCTGCCTTTGACAATTCTGTTTTGAAATTCTCGAAATTCTGTTTATCTTTTTCTGTCCAGGGAATAGGACACTTGTCATTCTTCCTTGAGTCGTTTGAAAAATCTTTTCAAAATAGACCGGTCTCTTACTGTTATCAATTATTGACGATAAAAAGTTAAAAACTCCCTAGAAATTTTGTTAGATCTTGTACTGTGTCGAGTTTTTGTAGTCAATAATGATTTAAACTTGGGATAGTATTGACTTTGTTCCTTCTGTGGTGATCAATATTTTAAGGATATCAACGCTATTAACGTTTAGGAGGGTTTTGATTAATTAATGCATATTCATATTTATCAAGCCTTGAAATCCTGTTCTCAAATGATTTTATATATTTTATATATTATGTAATTCTCTCTCTCTCTTTATTTCTAATTCATATTGTAGCGTGGTTGATTTGTTTGCATAATTTTTAGATTGTATTGATTTACATAAATTTTTAATTATGTCATATCCTTATATCTATAAAAATGAAATCCAAAATCGATGTTTGTTATCGCGTTGCGTGAAATCTACAGAATCAATCATTAAGAAATTTTGCGTGAAGGTAGCTGAATATTTCGTTTAACATATTGGCTATTCAAAAAAACTAAAAAGGTTAAAGTGCTTTTTTTTAAATGTAAAACCAGAAAGCGTTAGTTACAGCTTTTACCGTTTGGACGCAGCACTGGTCGCGACGATAAATGAATTTGATTGGCTAATAATTTCACATGTTGTTTGTTTATACGATGAATGTTTTTAAAAGGTAAGATTATTTATATATATATTTAAACTCTTTGGAGATAATATTAATCGATCGTTATCAAATTTATACGCCCCCGGAACCTGGGTTAATTAAAACTGCATTGTGAAGTTTTGCACGTAGGTAGCTGAGATTTTGGTTTAGCATTTAGGCTAAAAGTACAAAAATTGCATTTCGAACTACTTTTTTTTTTCTTTTCAGTAGGTAAGTTTCATTTAGTTATTTAGTAATATTTTCAAATTAAATTAATTGGAAATATTATTTATTTCGCAGCTTATATATTTTTGTTTCGTTTAATTTTAATTACTGTAAATATAACTATCTACATTTTTAAAGATAAGGTTTACTATTTGATTCTCATAAGGAATATTCCTATTTTAAGACAAATTGAGATTTAGAACAGTATTCTATTTTTTTTTTCTTTCTTATATTTAGAGTGAGTATAAATTTTATTGAAGTTGTAAAAAGTATATTTATTGAAAAAAAAAATGTATGTTTTTTCTATATAACTTGCTACATATGTTTTACTATATGTTTGTTCCATGTAATATGTTTATGCTCTAATAGCATTTATATTGTAAGCAGCAGCTATGCATTTTCAGTAACTATTTTTTTTTAAAGGCAGGCTCATTTTTTTTCTTGCCGTCATTTATTCAGTTAAGGTTTATATTTATCTGCTTCATAATATATAACTGCTCATATATATCTATATAGTACAACCATATTTTTGAATATATGTATTTATATATAGATGCAAATATACTCATATTTAAATAAAAAAATATACAATCAACAAACGACATGTTACTGACCCATATAGGGTTTATTAATAACTCATTTGACATTTTACTTTTATTTCTAACCTTTTGGATGAGATATGAAAGGGTGAATTGTGAAGAGTAATAATAAACGGAAAAATAAAAGTGTCCAGGGATGGGAATCGAACCCACAGTGTTCCGCTTATCGGGCAGATGCCATGTCCATTATGCTACCCTGTTTCTGTTTATCATTACTCTTCACAATTCACCCTTTAATACCCCATCCAAAAGGTTAGAAATAATCGTTATTTCTCCTTGAAATAAATTTTGATTTTTCGTTTAGGGGAAACACATGCGGGTTAGTATTTCAAATACCGTTTTACAATCATAATCCGCATTATATTATATTGCATTATAAATTACTTTATGTATTATTTACGAACGGAAAAATATGTCCAGGGTAGCCTAGTGGACATGGCATCTGCCCGGTAAGCGGAACACTGTGGGTTCGATTCCCATCCCTGGACACTTTTATTTTTCCGTTTATCATTACTCTTCACAATTCACTCTTTCATATGTTAAAAAGTCACCAGGTCAAGATAGTATCAGTAATAACATGATAAAATACGCAAAGACTATGTTACTTTCGATGCTACATTCGTTATTAAATAAATGTTTTCAGATGGGATATTTTCCAAGGGAATGGAAAAGGACAGTTTTAAAAATTCTAATGAAACGAAACAAATCTAACGTCGAATCAATAAAAAGCTATCGACCTATTTCGTTAACATCTAATCTGTCTAAGATCTACGAAAAGGTTATTAAAAATAAAATTTATGAATATTATATGCAAAACAATTTATTAAGTCCCAAACAGCATGAATTCATCAAATCAAAATCTACTATTACAGCCTTTAATAATATAATCGATTTAATAATGGAACGCAAAACCAAAGAACTGACACACAGCTCTGGTCATAATATATATTGCGGGAGCCTTTGATAATGCATGATGGCCTGCGATTTTAAAAATAATAGATGATGATAATTTGCCGGAAAGTTTCATAAGGACTATTCAATCATATTTCAAATCGAGGAAAACGAAATTTACATATGAGAACTTAACAATAAATAAACAAATTAAAAAGGGATGTCCGCAGGGTGGCCCGCTATCTGCACTACTATGGATAATATTACTAAACGATCTTTTGATCAAATATCAAGTTCCTAATAGTGAAGTGGTATGTTATGCGGATGATGTATCAATTATATGCTGGCACAACAAATGCAAAGACATGAAATTAGTTATAGAAAAGGCATTATATACGATTGATGTATGGTGTAAGAGTAACAAACTTGAAATAAGTCTAGAAAAAAAACTAATATACTTTATTTACACAACAAAGATAAAATTACAATCAAATTTAATAATGAAATAATCATACCAACTCTGAAGACCAAAATTTTAGAAATAATAATTTCAAATCACAGAAGAAGAAACAAAATAAATTTTACATACCACATAGAAGAAATAGTAAATTGTACAAAACGTTTTAAATAATATCTCTTCTCAATTTGTGGAAATCTTGGAGTCTAAGCAACCAGAAAAGGCTAACTTTATATAAATCCATTTACAGACCAATACTTACATATGGAGCCGAAATTTGATTCAAATATTTAAATAAAAAATGTTTACAAAAATTAAATTCAACCCAATATCAAATACTAACATGGTGTATACAAGCCTATAAATCCACATCATATAGCTGTGTTCATAGTTTGGCCAACATTCCCCTGATCTCAGACTTTATCGAATCCAGAATCATGATATCTGATCTGAGAAACTTATCCACAGATGATCAACAAATTTATGACCCATTTATTCCAGGAAACTTAGATACCTTTCTCAAATCGAGAATGAATGTTCTGAAAAACGAAGCAAATAATACTTTCTTAAGCTTTTTTCCCCAAGAAATCCCTAAATACTTTGGTCCAAATTTTTATAATACTCAATTTGTTACAAACCACGGAAATTTCAAAAGTATTTTAAATAGAATAAAGGCAGTGGAGGATTCGAGTTGCTTTTGTGGTATTGAGGAACAAACCTCAAGACATCTACTGATCGATTGCCCAGCATTTCAAGATTATAGAATGAAAAATGAACTAGTTGTATGTGAAATTAACGATTTGATTTCCGATAAAAAATCAAATTTAAAGTTCAATTCCTTTTGTAAATACATTCTAAACCTTCTGCAAGATCTGGATCTCTAATGTTTTCATGTGTTTAATAATGTAAATAACTTATGTAAATAAACTTTTATCCTTGTTTGGCGCAAGTATCCCTTGCGGGATATAGCGCTTTGGAAATAAGATAATTGTAATTGTAATACCTCATCCAGAAGGTTAGAAATAATCGTTATTTCTCCTTGAAATAAAATTTGATTTTTCGTTCAGGGGAAACACATGCGGGATAGTATATCAAATGTCGTTGTATAAACCTTTTTAGGTTAAAAAAAATATTGAGATGTAATTTGAAATATAGATAAGAATAACAAGGAAGCAAGACCAAATACAAATAAATAAATTATGTGTGGTTTCAGTAACAGCATTGTTACCATCTTCAGACAAAAGTACAGAATACATTCAATAATTTTGTCTTAATAAGGTCACAATGCTGTTACTGAAACATCACACATAATTCGTTTATTTTTATTTGGTCTTGCATTTTTGGTATTTTTAAAATTGCCCTTGAGTATTAGAAAATGATGCATATTTCCTATTTATTTTATATACCATTTTAAAAAGTGCATTATTTTGTAAAAATATCCAATTTCCCACACTTTTCTAAAACTGCCAACAATAACCTATTAGAAAATTCATCCAAGTCCGGGTATTTCAGTATTGCAGATATACTACATTTATAAAAGTTGATTAAATATTTAGAGATGTAAGTGCCGGATAAGGTGCCCTTTAAAATGTTTAATCTGGCTGTTTTTTCTTGTACAGCCGAGAGTGAGGTGGAAAAAGTGAAATTTTCAGGTTGCGAGGACCATTTTCCTTAATTCACACTAATCATTAGTTTTTTTTTTTCATTTTTTATATAATAAAGCCCAGTTTGGTTACTTGCACTCACTGGAGGGGTTAGACTTTTTCAAGAATCAGAGGCCATTGGGACAATTTTATTTTCAGAACAAAGTGCCCAAAGCTGGATTCGATGATCCCGGGTGGTGGTTTTTAAAATTCAACAGTTAAGACCAATCCTCCAAAACAGCACTTTATTCATTAGATGTGTTTGTGAAATTGATCTTATATTTCAGATTATTTTTACCAGCATTTTCAATTTTGATATTTGCAGTTTATCTTCATTATGCTGAAAGAAAATTCATTACTATAAGTTTTAAAACAGTTGGGGGCTCTATTCATTCATGGGCAAACCCCACTCGAACAATACCCGGGCGAAGCCGGGTCCAGTCGGCTAGTAGATTTATTAATGCCAGTAGATTTTAAGGTAGACAGAGACAATAAATTTCGGTTGGGTTTACCTCTCCTCGCGTCTATTTTATTTTCCACGCGACAAAGTGTGGGGGAGATGCTAGGTACCGATACTCTCACGGATACCTCGACAAGAAGAAGCATTCGCTTACAAGGCTCTGAAGCCACTTTTCTGTCTCTTATTAAAAGAATAATTCTATCAAGAGAAGTGACATTATCTAATAGCATTGATGCCAGATTCTCCTTCGGCCATTAGACAAGGAATCTTACTAGATTCGTCGGACCTGGAATGAAAAATTGTAGAAAATAAGCGAATTACCAGTAGGCTCTTCGAGCATAATCAGAGCTGTGGCTGCCGATGATCATTTTACGTATTCGACTGGTTCGACGAGGCAGAGTTGAGCCTGTCATCTGCAGAGTGGGGCCGTCGTATGCAGAGGTGAGACAGTCTTCTGCGGAGGAGAGGTCGTAGTCTGCAGAAATTGTCGTCTGCAGAAATTGCCGCCTGCGGTAAATGTCGTCTGCAGAAATTGCCGCCTGCGGTAAATGTCGTCTGCAGAAATTGTCGTTTGAAGAAATTGTCGTCTGCAGAAATTGTCGTTTGAAGAAATTGTCGCCTACCGAAACACGGTCTGCAGAGATGAGAATGCCGTCTGCGGAGATAGGATCACCGTCTGATGGGAGGAAAGAGCGTCTACCAAGGGATATTGTTCACCGTGACCCGAGCGAACAACAGGACCGACCGAAGATCACATTGTTTGACAGCGGGGACGCTGTCTTTTTGGGAGAGGAAGTTATGTGAAGTGGTTGATTTGTTTGCATAATTTTTAGATTGTATTGATTTACATAAGTTTTTAATTATGTCATATATCTATATAAATACGCGTAGATTTTAAGGTTAACAGATAGAATAAAGTTCGGTTGGGTTTACCTCTCCTCGCTACTACTTCTTTGATGAAACTCTGGAATGTTCCATAATACAAAGCTTATCATTTCAAACTGGAAAAGACCAAATGGTTTATGATTACTGCAATTTTTCACGATCTTCTTCTTTAATTGGGATTTTAGGTATGCTTTGTATAGGTGTATATATGAAAAGAAAGGCGATTCATTATAGAATATATTAAATGAAAATGATTAATCAGAATAATTATATTGAATACTTATTGGGTCAAATTATATAATGTCTATAATATAATTCATAAATATTATATATATAGTAATTATTTCGATTATTTTAGCCAATATAAATGAAAATACATCAAGAGAGGTCATCTAGTGAGGACATTTGTAACTAATTAGTTTACAATTTTTTAAAGAAAAAATTTAAAGGTCGTTTAGACTAGTATTCTAATTCCCTTTCGTAGGCTATGGGATGGAGGTATACACTGTCTATATTGGACAGTTAGGTTCTGTAATAGATTCTGACAATTGGAGAAGGTTTTATGTTAAATCATTGGGGTTGAATATATCTCTTTCTCAAAGATTTCCTTCTCTCCATTATAGAGTCCAAGTGACTGCACTAGTTTCTGGCTTCATGTAAATTTAATGTTAAACTGCCTCTATATATTTGTTTGTGTAAACTCAATTTAAAATCAGTCTCAACCATCTAGCAAACCTATATTTATATAGGACAACTTGTTTTGTCGAGAAGTACATATGCCACTTTCAGCCCCCGAGCTATCCCCGCAAGCAGAGGAGTATAAACAGAGCTAGCTCCTCTCAATTAGCTCAGCAATGGGATTATA